GTTTGATAGTGTATGTGAGAGAGTTTGATAGTGTATGTGAGAGAGTTTGATAGTGTATGTGAGAGAGTTTGATAGTGTATGTGAGAGAGTTTGATAGTGTATGTGAGAGGGTTTATAATGTACATATATGACAGCAAGAATGAAACGTGGCCTAAAGGGCCTCCCATACATAGTGGATGATTTCTGGCACAGAATCCAACCTATAATGTTTGACTGGATCAGGGTAAACTAGTGTCAGTATTTTGAAACAATTTTCATATTTCTCAGGTTTTAAATGAAAACCTGATTTACAATATATTTTTGACATTTTTATACATTTGTTAGTGACATCTCACAGCTTTTTATAGCCTAGTGGAGCCTTAATCAATAACTAAATAGTCTCTAAGTGTGAATGGTTATTTCAGTGTCCATGGACTTGAGGTCTTTCCAGTGTCGCCTCTGGCACAGTTAATGCTGGAGGTAAGCACCAGATCCCTCTAATCTGGAAAGGAGAAGCAGGTGAAGAAAATGGGTAGATAAAATGATTCTGTAATCTCTGCCTTTAATGACAACAAGACACACAGCTGCCATAGGCCTGCTAGTTTGGTAATAAGATCTTCCTGCTTGTCCTGTCGATATAGATTTTTGGATCATTGTGGAGTTCTTATCTTGGATTATTCAAGTCTGCTGACAGGTCTGCTTCAGAATATTTTGTTTGGAACAACTGATTCTTGACATTATTGTCATAGTCTTTCTTAATTGGTGGACTAAATGGAATTTATTAGAAATGATAGACAAAATTAAAAACATGGAAATTATTCAGAAATACTAAAAGTATCATGTTTATACTGGATTAAAAGTCAACCTTCCTGATTTTCTTAAATTCCCACACTTGTTTTCTGGTTTTGTATCACAAACAATGTGTTTCGATCTACTGTTGCAGATTTAATCTAACAGAGCAGTTGTCAGTGACACAGCAGAGCAGGGTGTGTGTGGACAGTTCCTGTCACTCACTGTCTGAGTTGCTGATGCCGCTGTCGCTGATGCTCGCGCTGCTCCTCCTCTTCACGGTCTTCAGGTGTTCGTCGTACCTGAAGTGTCGCTTCTCCACCGGAGACGTGAAGTCTTCCATCACCGCGTCGAACTCGCCCAGCACGTCGCTCAGGTCCTCCTCTTTGACGAAGGTCGCTGCAGGAGAAACAGTCAGGTCAGGAGCTTTACTTATGATGACGGCAGGCAGCCGCACACCTGTGGTTTTTAATTAAAGGTGACAGAAAACTAGTTTAAAACTACCTCTAGTTTTCAGCTTCGGTGACTTCATGGTAGCACGGCTCAGAAAGCTGTCGCAGAGGGAATAATGAATGTCTCAGTGAGCAGCCCTGAAAATATGTCCTCATACCCTGGATGGTTGCTTTTAAACCAACCCTGTTCAGAGGGGCGGGGAGAGAGAGAGAGAGGGAGAGAGAGAGAGAGAGAGAGTGAGTATATCATGGTTCCCAGGAGTAAAACTTGACAGGATGTTTTGGCTACACTTGACTTGTTATGGCAACCCATTTTAGCATAGAATCAGTTTCATCTATCTGTAATTACATTCTACCATCTATAAATGAGTTTTGACAGGAACAACTACATTTTGACTATCTTGAATGTTAATTTAAGATATGTGTATTAACATTCTGACTMGTCATAATTGCARTTCAAGATATCTCAAACATAATTGTGACCAGTCAAAATGACGTTTTTTGATATCTGAAATAAGAAATTGCTCACAAGCCCCCATGCTGCCACTTAGCTGTCCAAACAGTTGCCTGCTGAATTTTGTGAAGCTGCAATGAAAAACAATAAACTATCTGTTTTTGATTCATGTTGAGCACGAGCTACAGAGATATAAATTGTGTTAAAAACAGAATTTGAGCTGGACACTGCAGACCACCTACAGCACATTAAAGTAAGGCAGTGACAGTACGACTACTTGTAAATCATAGGTATATGCAGGCTAGCTATCTCATGGCGTGCTGTAGCACATATTCATATTTCATRTTCATATTTCATAAAATAAGAGTGTGTTGCCAGCTTATTGGATGATTCTCAATAGGGAGCACCAGAGAAAGCAACTATGTCCATATTTTGTTCATTAACCAGAGCAGCTTGAAAACAGATATAATTATCTTTTATAAGAAATATTGAACAATAGTTTTGGTAATTTGTCCGTTTATAATAATTTGTCATTGTAGCTATTTGACAATCAACAAAATAACAACAGCTGGAACTGGTTCTGGTCGTTACGGTCTCTATGTTGAGCTATGATGTCTATGCAGTAAATTTTCCACCAAAATGCTACGTAAATCTGTGCCGATTTGACCAGTCACAATCATTATTCAAAATATCTTCAATATCATTTTGATTTGTCAAAATGTTAATTCAAGATACCTTAAATGGAAAAGCCCTCTAGATGAAAAAAATATATTCATGATATCTTAAATTCATTTAGAGATATCTTAAAATGAATTTTGACTAGTCATAATTACAGTTCTAGATATCTCTAATTTAGTTTTAACTAGTCATTATTTGCTTTAAAGATATCTGTAATTGAATTTGAACAAGTCAAATCTTTATTCATGGTATCTAAAAGTAAGTTTAAGATATCTTAAATAATGATGCCATTTAAGATATTTTTAATTGGAATTAAGACTTGTCAGATCTAAAAGTGGGATATCTTTAAGGCAACTAGTGACTAGTCAAAAATAACTTAGAGATATTTCAAACTGTATTTTTGACTAGTCAAAATTACTTTTAAGATATCTTGAATTGAAGCCTCCGTAGACCTCAATGGTAAATCTGACGTCATTTATACTAGTCAAAATGTAATTAGAGATATCTCAAATAACAAATATGACTAGTCATAATTCAGTTTCAGATATCTGGAATGGAAGTGTTGTGAATCTGATTTTATGCTAAAATGGCTTGCCTTAATCTGTCCAAATTTAAGTGGACGTACAGTGCCATCTGCTGGAATTATGTGTCTATTTATTTTTTCTTTATTTAACTCCAACACAAATCAATTGAACCTAACAAATGAACAGCAGCAGACCCYGCCCCTCGCACTGTGACTGCTGGATCTGGGCACCAGTGACCCATGTGACCCTGAAAAGGAAGAAGCGTGTWCAGAARATGGATGGATGGAAATGAACAGCAGCCCAAAGACTTCTTCACTTTGAATGAGAGCTTTTAGTGGCAGAGTTTTAAGAAACTAACGCTGACTGACTTTACAAACTTTACAGTAGCAGCACTAGAGATGCTAATCAGTAGAAATTGATTGTGAAATTAAAAGAAAGGTGCATATTGTGGGAAATATTTATTTAATAAGAACAAATAGCTGTGGAAGACCAGGACTTCAAATCCTCTCATAGTATTTCTGTTTGTAACCTTCATCGTTTTAAATCTAATTGACTATTTTACATTTGTAAGTGAAAAACACAACCTTCAGGATACAAATTAATCTTTAGTTTAACACAAAATACAACATGTCTCATACAACACAGCAATGCCATGTTTAATACTTATACCATCATCAAATTAAGAATCCTCCAAGATGTAAATATAAAATCTTGTTAGTTAATATATTCCCTAGTGGCTTGTTTATTATGTGTCACATTTAAAGTTTAGCCTCTGATCACTTATGGCAGGAAGTTAAGAACCTCCATCAAATTTGCTGGACATCCTGAAGACTCTCTCACAAATTCAGCAGWGGCATTCATGAAATGTTATTTTAAAACAACTGCATTAACAGCTGGGTTTTCATACCTGAAACTGCACGACTTATATATTTCACATTACATGACCTCTACTTACAGGAGTCAGAAATGAAACTCAGGAAAGATTGTGGTCAAAGCAATGCTCTTTGGACAGGTAGCTGACTGAAAGCTGTGGGGTGTTTGTGCATTTTTTATTGCAAAATGTTTTATTTTGTATTTTTTTTCCTGTTATTTTCTTGTTTTTAATTATTGTTGGATGCTGTTTGTTTTTATTATGATGTAAATTAACTTTAGGCTAAATCTGGTGCAATGCATCAAATGTTTTTATGTTCATGTTTTAATTGCACATTGTCCTCATGAATAAAATTCATTAAAACATGCTGGTAAAGGGAAAATATATTTGTTATGAAGTGTTCTGAGTGCTTCAAGRYAAGGAAGAGGGATTTTTATGGCCAGGAAAAGTAAAAAAGGATGGATAAAACCACTTCCAGTCGGCCATTTTGAATCACTAATTTYGTCATATTTGAGGACAAATATGCCTCAAAATGTGAATGCAGATATTCACCAGATGCTGCTGCTGACAGATCCATGATGTGATGACCTGGAACGTGAGGCCTGAAGTGAACCGAGGCAAGCTGCTAACCACCGCCGTCGGCTACCAGGTSCGCTATCGGCTCGGCCCATGAGCTGGTGGTTCTCCAACACATTCGGCTAACCCAGGAGCTACAACCACAGGCCTGTGTAGTCGGCCTGCCTACGAAACTACAGACGTGGTTGGTGTGAGGACAGGCCCGGATGAGTCGTGATGAGACGTGGTCCAGGAAGAGGCTCAGCTTCAGCAGAAAACAACTATGAAGACAACATGGAGGAATTTTAAACATCATTGGATTTTATGAGTGCAGAGAGTGGCTTCACTGCAGGAAGTTCTCATGGAGCTGTTTGAAGAGGTGAAGTGAGTGAAAGTTGCAGTAAATGACAGACAGATAGTTAGGGTTAGGGTTAGGTTAGGGTAACTGGACGACATCAAACACCAGACCTGTGCTGGAGTTGCAGCGAACAGAAACACCAGGACTCTGCACAAGAAGAACTGATCCCTGTGGAGCAGCAGGTAGTGACTTTCCTGCAAAACAAAAATACTGACGTTTCATCTGAGGACATTTCCATCTGCCACACCTTGCCCAGCAAATCAGACAAATTCAAACCACCAACAGTCATCAGATTCATAAGCAGCAAATCAAAAAACAATCTAATRATACAAGCTAAGAAACTGAAAGGAACAAATGTCTACATAAACAAATAACCAAAAAAAGGAAATATTGCAAGTGAGGCAAGTTGTTGAAAAGACAGAAAAAAATAAAACAACTTGGACACGAGATGGAAACATCTGGATCAGAGCAAAGGAAGGGTCACAGGCATGACAAGATAAACTTTATTGATCCCACAGCGGGGAAATTTGCACATTACTGCAGCTCAATACAGGAGAGGCTGAGATAGAATAAAGACATATAAATAAAATAAAATAATTTGATTAAAGAAAAGAAAAATGATTAAAGAAATGAAGGATTTGGATGGATTTAGGACGGAATAACTGAAGTAAATGACTGAAACAACTGGTGCATAAGGATTTAACAAAATAAAAGAAAAAATGGACAAATACATTACGATATGACAAATGAAGTCTCTAAAATATATTATATAGAGGATAAGATTGATTCAGTTTTTTTTCCTGCAATCAAAGAGCAAATATTATAACGCAGAACAATTAAAAAAAAATAACAAAATGGGTTTCTCCATCATACATTTTAAAAATTAGGAGTATAAATGCAAATTTATCCAAAATAACAGATTATTTAAAACATTTAATCAGAAAATTTAATACAATAACACTTTCTGAAACACGGTTAAATGATGCAATCATACAAGTTACTGATGGGTATCATTCATACAGCATGAATACAAGGGGTGGAGAGGCTCTATTAATTAGTAAAGGAATAAAATGTAAATTAAATAATAAAATGTCATTAATTTTAGATGATATTATAGAAATAATAACAATCAAATAATAAATAAGAATTTTACAAATATATAATAATC